CCTACAAGGTATGTCTCTAATCAGATGTATTCGTACTAAGATGGACACTGAACAGGTGCTAAAGTCTCATCATGCAGCAGGATTTCGAAAGTTGAGGCAAGCTGATATTTCATCGACACCAGCTTCAGTCTTTTGGCGGAGCTTGCAAGGCGATGGCACCAGCACCGTCAGGACGCTTCCATACAAGAATAGTGCGACAGCAATGGCAAAGGAGTCATCCTACAAGGTATGTCTCTGCTGACAGAAATCAGATGTATTCGTACTAAGACATTGAACAGGTGCTAAAGTCCCATGCAGCAGCAGGATCATCTCGAAAGTTACTGGCCAGGAGGGAAATCGGCAGGAGTGGTGACACTAAGAAAGCTAGCAGCAGCAGCAACAGTGGCAGTGCTTCACCACCACCAGCATCGCCACCACCTTCTATGTGGCGGTGGTTCCCTCGAAGCTTGGACAAGGATGGTGGGAAGGCCAAGAGGATCAACACAGAAAAGTTTCAAGCAGTTGACGAGACTTCAACATCGACCTCTCAAAGTTTATTGTATGACGCCGGTATGAGCAGCGGCAGTGTCAATGATTTCATCGAGTTATTTGAAGGAGAGGGCATTAGCAGCAGCGATGCCATCCTGAGCTCGCTGTTGGAAGGCGAAGGCAGAGCCAACAATGCAGATCTTCAGCTGCCTTCCTCCAACGATTTCAACTTACAGGCGACGGCTGTGGCAGCAACCCCGCTGCTTCTTCCAATCCTTGCCGGGTTGCTGGTGGCGCTGCTCTTCCTCTTCTTCCTCTACCTCTTCTCGGTGATCAGGAGGAGGTCGTGGAGGAGGAATAGAAGCCTCCTGCCTCACTGACTTCCAGGCTTGCGATGGAAATACATCAGGATGTGGAGTGGACAGGATCAGGTTCTCGCAGGCATGGTACTTGGATCAAAAACTTGAAGGCGGTGGCTTAACACTATGTGATTCAATCGGGAGTGATGTCTTTTTCATCGGCTGGAGAGAAGGTGGCTCTTTTTTTGCTGGAAGAGAAAATGTGAGCGGAGAAATCTTACATTGCTGGTGGATTCGGATCTTTGTCTGATGCAAGCAACACAACTTTCTACACCGTTTGATGGTGCTGGGAAGGAAGATTTAGTGATATTTCTTTTTCTATATATACTGAGTGTTTGTAGCATTTAAACTTTTTTGTTTTCTTCGAAACTTAGCTCCAGTGATTGGGAAGCAAAAAAAAGTTGCTAATGAAGACCAGTAACATGGACGGCACCTGATCACGCAAAGTTACTACCCTGTCTGAGAAGCAAATCGATGGAAGGAAGCAACAGCTACATTGCCCGTAGCTTTGTGTCGCAGCTGATGCCAAACGCTGAGAAAGGATGCGCGCAAAGCCTTCTCGTGCGTCTCTTCCCATTTCCAGTCTTCGCTCACTTGGTAGAAGTATGGTTTGGAAGCGACGAAAGAAAGGAAGAATTGAGTGAAAGAAATTGTTTGTGACCTGTGCTTGAAGCCGCCTAGTGTCCTTCCTCGGAAGAGAGAATGCGCAAACAGTGGCCTCCATCAAGCCACAGTTTTGTACTGCGTTCCATCCTCACTATATCAAAAGAAAGCTGTGTGATCAACATAAGTTCTAGTGTAAGACCATCGTGAAGAAGTTTTTGCTACTACTGTACCGGCGCTTGCTCCTCTACCTGAAGTTGGCCAAAGAAGATGATTAAATAGAGGTCTGAGGCGCTTGGATCTGGATGCCTATGGTATGCATGCTAAGCTTGATGTTCATAGTTCTTTCCTTCAGACGGAAAATGTGGAATTGCCCTTTTCTTCTGCCTGCTTAATTCTGAGCTGGAAAATGCTTTTCGAACACAAGACCTGATGGTTCCAAATCCAACAACATTTACCATTCCCCTCAGTTGCAAACGTTGTCCTGTGACACTGAAAGACATGGAATTCTGCTCCTTATGCTCTCTCATGTCATCGGCCAAACCAAACAACTCGACCTTTCTGTCATGCTTGGAAAGAAAAAACAAAAGGAAAGAAGTATTCCCAGTGATCAATCTGAAGAAAAATCGAAACAAAGAAGAACCACTCCTTAGCTATGAACCAAGTTCCATTGCCAGTTGATAAGGACGATGGATCGATTACCTTCCAACGTGTGCATTCCATCGCGCGAGGGTGATCACATTAGCTCGACCGCTGCGCGCCCATCCGGAGCTGAAAGAGAGAGAGATTAGAGCTGGAGATGAGAGGCGAAGGAAACAGAAGTGATTTGAGGATGGAGACAGCCATGAAAGCCCGTAACTTTTTTACGGTGAAAAAGTCACGCAACCCCCTTAATGCTTCCATCGCATGGGTCACTGCTTCCTCCATCGCCATGTTTGATGCTTCCTCTCTTGGTTTTGGCAGGGCCGCATTCCGGTGGGTTTTAAGACAGCAATTGAACGGATCAGTCTGCGATGAGTGTAAAAATTTTGCTCAGCCTTTTGTTAGAACTTAGATAGATCTCCTGTAGATGTTTCTGCCTGTTATATCTATGGTTAACCAGCAACAGGTGCACCGGAAGAGCCAGAGGCAGTCTCTTATCAGTCGATGTTTCGGACACTACGTACTTCGACAAGAGAGAGCTGAATCTGTAATCTTCAGAAGTTTCTTGCAATCCAGAGGGTTTGCCAGCGCAGAGGCTTTTGCTACCTGGATTCCACACTACTTGAAGCGGGCTCCAAAGCATGCTGTGATGTCCGCCCCAGAAGTTCTCGCTAGGCTCACGTAGGAGACTCCCCTGTTGCCTTCCGTCCATGAACAATGGAGTTTAATGTGTCAAGTGTGGATCATCCATGGACTCAAACGCGAGTGCGCTAGGGATCTTGGTTCCAATGTTTGCAAGGTTCTTGGCTTCCAAAGGTTTTTAACTTGATCGAAGCCTTTTGGTGTTGGCAAACAACACTACAATTGGATGCCCTGGAAAAGTAGTTCTCCTTTTGATACTTGCTGAAGCATGGCGAAGGTATAAAGGAGCTCTTTTATTGCTCCAGTGTAAGTAAGAGTGATCCCAAATGGCTGTGTCTTTCTGGGCACACGCTGAAGGGCATGGCATGCTTGATCAAGATAAGCTTTAAAAAAGGTGGCAACGCATGGTCACATGGATCGGTACATGAAAGGCCCACCGCATGAGACTATTATCAACATGGCATTTTAATTCCAATGAACCCTATAACGTGGCAAGCATTTATTATCGCTCGTGTTGGTTTCTTTTTGCTTGTGTACTGTACAAAAATATAGGTGAGCTTCCAGTCCTGCCAAAACTTTAGTCCAAAACTTTAGTCCATTCAAAGAAGAAACGAGTGAGCTAGAGAGTGTGAGAGAAAGAGAGATCTTACCTTTGCCATGGGTCTAGTCAGTGGAAATCGACATCGTCCATCTCGTTCACGGCTTGGAGTGGCCTCCCGTTCTCGCCGAGATACGACTGGTTGCTCACAATGAGCCTGAGCTGCGGCTCCATCGTGTTCACCGAGTTCCAATCCTCGTCCGAAAGGGACCAGTTGAGTATGTCGAAGTTGGACTTGATTCGCTCTGGCTTGAGGCTGCGAGGGAGTACGCTCGTTCCTCTCTGGACGCCCCACCGCAAGATGACCTGCCATTCAAAGGCGTGTCGTGTTTCCAATCAATGCGGAGGAAAACGACGGGGCTCTGAGGCTGAAAGAAAAGAAAGAACCAAAAAGTACCTGTGCCGGAGTCTTGCGGTGCCGATTGGCAATGACAGCCACCGCTGAAGTGCCGAGCATGGGAGCGTGCACAGACCGCGACCTCGAGAAAACTATGGGTTGGCTCCGGGTTTCCACTTCGTCGTCTCCCATGGAGCTGAGATTGCCGGAGCTGCCAAGGCGGGCTCCAGGAAATCCCAGAGGAGTGTGCGCTGAGACGTGGATCCCTTTGGACTGGCAGAACTTGACGAGCTCGTCTTGACGCCAGAAGGGGTGGAGCTCAACCTTGGCAAGGAAAGATAGAGAGTTAGATCGGTCCTTGGTAAAGTTCTGATAGCTCTCACCTGGTTGACTGCTGGAATTATCCTCGCGAAGCTCACCACCTCCTGTATCTGCGAGATCCCAAAGTTGCTCACTCCAATCGCACGAACCTTGCCCCTCTCCACCAGCGCCTCCATCGCCCGCCAGATCGACTTGAGCCTCCGGGACATCTTCTTGAGCTCGGTGGTGGCATTCCCAGGCGGATCCGTGGCGTCCCCGACTTGGGAGCTCACCGGCCAGTGCACCAGATAGAGATCCAAGTAGGACACCCCCAAGTTCTTGAGCGAGACCGTGAGAGCCATCTCCACCCGCTTGGAGGTGTCAGTGGTGCACCAAAACTTGGAGGTGACGAACACGTCCTCTCGCCGGAGGCCGGGAATTCCACCATTGAGAGCCGCGCCGAGAGCCTGCCCGACCTCGATCTCGTTGCCATACAAGTGCGCGCAGTCCAAATGCCTGTAGCCCACCTCGAGCGCCGTTTGGACCGCTAGCTTACACGACGCTCCATCGGATTGCCAAGTCCCGAGACCCACGGCTGGAATCTTCGCGCCAGTGTTGAGAGGGAAATACGTCATGGCGACCAGATCTCCTCTCCGGGCCACAATCGCGATGCCTGTGGCGAATTCCCGGCCCTGCCGATCCCGATTCGTGTCACGCAGTGCCTGCTGCTCCTGGAGGCGACATGATCTGGAAATCCCTGTACTGAATCCCTGGCCGCTGCCGCTTATGTCACTAATCGCTGGATCTTTCGCCGGGAATGGCAATCACTTACTCTAACATCGAGGATTCGAGGAGCTGGAGAGAGAATGGCCGCCGCGCCCTGGAGCTCGCCACCGGAAACCCTAGGAAAGATAAAAAAGAGAGGAAAGCGAAGTGGGCCTGACCGTACGCTATCGACTGGCCAACGCTTAATAAAGTTAAGGAAGTCCGGAATATGCCATGGAATAGTTTTCGGCCCAAATATCTGACGAAGCTTATCCACTTTTTAGAGTTTAGGGTTCTTGGGAGCTATGGCTGCGACTGCTGCTAGAATCGGCGTGGGCGTGGTGGCGCAGAATTCGTGGCTTCCTGGTGCCAATCGGCGATCGCATTCGCATCCTTGTGTCGTAGCCGCTGTCTCGGCTTCTTCTTCTTCTTCTTCTTCATCATCATCTTCATCTTCATCGTCGGTGTCGGTCTCGTCCGAGGTTCCAAAGCTCGAGCCATTCACGCAGAGTAGAAGCGTTCGTGGAATGCGACAGCGGACGCTGCTCGAGAAGGCCGAGCACGCTTTGCAAGGTAAATCAGCTTGCTCGATTCGATTGAAATCTCTCTGAGAGTTCTCTGTGGTTCTCTCTTGCTTGTGGAGTAGACGAATGCACCATTCTGGATGGGGACCAGGCCCACGAGTGCTACGATGCTCTCTTCGAATTCGAGAAGATCAAGGTTTGTCCGCTTCGATTGATTCGTGAAGAATCGTCTGTCCATCTCTCTGACACTTTTGGTTCTCGTTTTCCAGGAGAGCTCCCAGGAGGAATGCGCTGCTGCCTTCGACGATGCTAATCAGTCGTGCCAGCCGCTGGAGAGGCTGGAGAATCTCGTCAGGCAGTCCGGCGGCGTGACCACTCTCATCAAGAACTTGGTCGTGCTCGCGGGATTCAATCGAAAGAAAAACGTAGCGGCGCGCTCGCGGGAAGAGGCAGCGAAGGCGGCGGCAGTGGTGGAGAAGGAGGAGCTGTTCCTGGAGCCAGACTCGATTCCAAAGACCCCGGAAGAATTGGCGGAGGAGGAGCGAGCAAAGATGCCCGAGTCGGCGCTCTCGCGGCTGCTCAAGAGGCGAGGACTGCCTTCGCGATGGTTTGGGCAGCGGCCCGAGCACGAGACTAACTAAACGAAGAAAACTCTCGTCTTGTATAGAATAGCGTGGAACTTTTATCTGTACATACAAATCACCAATGATAAACTTTTTAAAAGGTCGTACGTTCGAGACTTAAACCTTTCTGTCACATTATCACTATACGATTATTCGAAACCTTCATGAAGTCCAAAGATTTGGAGGCTAATGTTTCTAAAACTATATAAAATTCTTTGCCCATAACTGATTATTGGTAAGGCCTATTAGCTCAGATGGTCAGAGCGTGGTGCTAATAACGCCAAGGTCGCAGGTTCGAAACCTGCATGGGCCAGGCTTTTTGTAGAACCAATATAATCATGGAGTAATGTCTAACATTTCCTTGAATCCAGTAACTTTATAATCACTGATAGTTAAGGCCTATTAGCTCAGATGGTCAGAGCGTGGTGCTAATAACGCCAAGGTCGCAGGTTCGAGACCTGCATGGGCCACACAATCTTCCCCTTTTTGGAGCTCCATTCCCATCTCTCTCACTCGCATTTTCTCCTCCCACATCCCGGCGCTCCCATAGATATTCGCCATGAGCATGTAAGCCGCGAGCTCGCGTCTATCCTTTTCCACCACCGATTCAAACGCCAATCGCCCAAGCTCCACATTCTTCCACTTCCAGCACGCCCCAAGAACCGTCATCCACGTCACGGTATTTGGCTCCACCGGCATGGACCTCACCATTTCCACCGCCCGCTCCAATTGATTCGCCCGCCCCAGAAGATCAACCATGCAGTGGTAGTGTTCCACGTCCGGACGAATGCCGTACACCACATCCATCTTCTCAAAGAGTTTAATCCCCTTGTCGACGAGCCCGCCATGGCTACACGCCGTGAGAATCGCCAGAAACGTGATACGGTCGGGCTTTACCCCCGCCCGCCGCATGTCGTACAAGGCGCCAAACACCTCCGCCACGTCAGCATGCCACGCGTACCCGGACACGAGTGCGTTCCAGGTCACCACGTCCGCGACGCCCGCGGCGTCAAACTCGCGCCGCGCGGCTTCCGTGCTGCCGCACTTGCCGTACAGGTCGACGACGCAGTTGACCACCGCGGGCAGCTCCGCGGCGCCGCAGCGGCAGGCGTCCACGTGGATGGCACGTCCCATGTCCAGAGCGGCCATGCCGGCGCACGCCTTGAGCGCGCTGGCGAACGTCTGGCCGTCCACGTGGTAGGATTCGCGGTGGAGGCGCATCCACGCGAAAACGTCCAGCGCCGTGTCACGCTCACCGTTTTGGGCATACGCGAGCAGCAGGGCATTCCACGTCACCGCGTTATGACATGGCATTCCCTCGAAGATCTTGAGAGCGTCCACCAGGCTTCCACAGTGTGAGTACATATCGAGCAAAGCGCTGGAGACGAAGATATCTTTCTCGAAGCCTCGCTTTCTCGCCTCCCTGTGAAGCGCCATTCCTCGCTCCAGAGAAACCACTTTGACCATTCGATCGATCACTTCATCCTTGAGAACCATCCCGGTTTCCAGAGCTGCCACTTTCATCGATCGCTGGATCACCGCTTCTTTCAGCCGGACTCCACTCGAGAGAGAGACGAGCTCCACCGTTTTGTCGTCGATCTTCCTGGCCTCCTCTTTCCCAGCACTGGCAATGCAAGCTCTGAGTCCCACCACGAGAGCCTGCGCATCGACTTCACAGCCATCCCTGTGCATCATCTGTGAGAAGAGCTCCAAAGCCTTCTCGCCTTCTCCTTCCTGCACGCAGCCGGACATGAGAGCCGTCCACGAGATCGCGTTCCTCACCGGCATTGCGTCGAAGATCCTGTACGAGTCGTTCAAACTCCCGGACTTGGCGTAAAAGTCGACCAGAGTGCTCGCCACGAAGATGTCCGACTCCAAACCGGCCAAACCAGCCCGGGCATGGACGAGCATTCCTGCTTCCAGCGCCACCATCTTCACCATCTTTCCATCGCTGCTTCTCTGGCCTTCCTCTTTCGCTGCTAGAGCCGAGCACGCCTTGAGAGCCGCGACGAACGTAAGAGAATTTGGAGCGCAGTTCATGGATCCCAGGAGCTCTAGAGCGAGCTCACCTTCGCCGTTATGAGCATAGCCGGTCATGAGCGCTGTCCAGAGCACCACGTTTCGAGACGCTAACTCCATCCCAAGGAACACCTTTCGAGCGTCCTCCATGCTTCCACACTTGGAGTACATGTCCACCAGAGTGCTGGCGACGTAGATGTCCGAGTCGCAGCCCGATGGAGCAGCCAGAGAGTGGAGCATGAATCCTGTTTCCAGCACCACCATCTTCCGGAGCCTGCCATCCGCGGCACTGCCTGACTCTTTCGCCACCAAGTTTGAGCACGCCTTGAGAGCAGCAACGTAAGTCTGAGCGTCTGGAACGCAGCCGTCGGACACCATACGCTGGAAGAGCTCCAGAGCTGTCCTGGCTTGGCAGTTTTGCACGTAGCCGAGCATGAGTGACGTCCAGGATACCACGTTTTTCGATGGCATATTGTCAAAGACCTTGCGAGCCTCCGCCAAGCAGCCACACTTAGCGTACATGTCCACCAGAGTGCTGGCCATGTAAATGTTGGCCTCATTGCCGCTTTGAACTGCATCGGCGTGGATCTTTTTCCCGAGCTCTAAGTTCCTGGAGCTGCTTGATAGCTTTAATGCCGCAAGCATACCAGAGAGAGAGCTCTTCCTCTTGTCATTTTCTCCTGGGCCTCGTTCAATGTGGAATGATCCATGCGACTCATACTGCATGCTTGGCCAAAGCCTATGCCATTTTTCCCTTTCGCTGCTTCCTGCAAAAGTGACTATCTTAGTAAATCAGCAACACAGATAAAAGCCACAACTTCTCACCGCCAAACCATCAGGCTGCTGCACGCAAGAGAAAACCCGAGTGAAACAATTGTGGGTTCTTTCAGAAGTTCCACAGCCCTAGATGAGTAATGAATTGAATTAAAGAAGACAAGAACCAGACTAACCAGAAGTTTGATTTAAGATGCAGCAATGCTCCCATTTTTCGTACCTCTGAAAATTCAATCTATTTAGCAAGAAACAGAAGGAAGAAAACTAGAATATCACTTACGGTTTAGAAGAAGTTGTAGAGGCTACAAACCCTGGCGAGAAGACCCACGAAAGGAGCATTGATATACGTGGTAGGTTCAAGCTGGGCAGAGTTGGGCCTCCAGTCCAAGAATGCGTCCCAGCGGTCTGGACCCCCAACAATTGCTCCAGTCAGGACATTCGGATTTGGGAAAGGTCTGTAAAACCACTCGTTAAATCCCAGCACGCAATTCACAGGCGTCGAATCCTCGTAGATTGAAACTATCGACGCTCCTCTGTGATGCGGTTGTAAAGGATAATAATTGCTGTAGCCAACCATGTACGACATCCCCAAGGGATTCTGACCAAGAATGTAATTCACCTACAGAGGTGAAAAGGGTTATGATATCTTTCCGCAAATGATAGCTCACCTGGTTTAGTGCAAATGACATCAGAGTGTCCGGTGCAAATATGTGGTCTTGACACGCAAGAGTTTGGGTTGCTGCTTGAAGATAATCACCAAACACAGCGGCCAGAAACGAGGTGCTAGTTACGTATTGCATGTTAGCACCAGTTCTAACAAACATCATGCCACCTGAATGGAGTTTGTAGACTAAGAAACGAAAAACGAGCGAAGCCGTGTACCTGGAGTAGTGGAGACTCGGTTAACAGGACTGTATGGAAGTACTGAGCAGAAAAATCTGTCAGCATGGTCCTTAAACTTTGCAAGCGACTCCTGTCCGGAAAGGTAACACTGAATGCAGATAACGACTTCAGATCAACCAAAAGAACAGCGTCTCCTTACATTTGAAAGTAAAACTTGTACGCCAGCATGCTTGTTATCCCAGCTGAATTCGCTAGTGGGAACACTTTTGTCCATGTTGCGTTCTATGAAATCGAGGTAGGAGGCGGCATTTGTGGCTTTGAACAGCCAAGCAGCGGCCCAGAGAAGCTCATCCTGATAGAAGAAAAAAAGCTTTACAGCTACGTACTGAGCGTCGACTTACGTGGAAACCGTTGAAAGAACAATAGAATGGACACGTTTTCCAGAAAGAACCACGATACTGATTTGCAAACTCAAAGAGCTAATTAAAAAATAGAGAAAGCGTATAAGAATTCCAACAATGAATGTTATCGGGCTCGGGCAGAGGGAAAAGGGATAAGACCACTTACAGCTTCTGCTCGCCGAAGAAGGAAATTTGAGTACCCAGGATCAACTCCCGAGAGCACAATTGAAGAAGCAGCAAGAGCTGCAGCAGTTTCAGCAGCTATCTCCGTCCCTGGATTGTTTTCGTCAATTTTGTATAGCCGACGATCAGTGTCCATGTCTTCTGGTCGTTCCCAACAGTTATGATCCGCTCTTGGATCTCCAACCTGCATAGTAAGTCCCATGTTCAGACTGAGAAATAAAAAATCATGTAAATAACTTTCCTGGACCCAGAGCGTGGTAGGACCTGTGTTGGCCTTGATCATAAATTCCGTCCCCCACCGGATAGCATCGAGGACGTTCTGTAACTCTCCAAGTTGAGCCATCGAGTTGCCATATTCGATAGCGCCCCAGGACAGCATTGTGATGGTGAATGCCATTGGGAAAAGGTACTTGACGTTGTCACCGGCATCATAGTAGCCACCAACGAGATCAACCTGCAAGTTGGCGTTAGCATCAGACGAGCTGCATGCGCGATATTACATTCTCAGCGGCTCCGTCATACAGGCCCGAGTCGCCTCTCCAATTCTGTCGTTGGCTGCTCGGAAGTGGACCGGATCTCTGGGCTTCAAAGAAAAGAATAGATTTCGAGAGCGCATCACTATAGTCGAGACAATGACTCAACTCCAGCACCAGCACCAAAGCAAGAAGCTCGAGAAACAGACCCGAGAATGCCATCGAAGATCCGACGCTACAAGTTTCTACATGCTGTCAAGAGGAGATGGAATAGAGAGGATAGGACAGGACATTCAGGCAGACAATAAGAATACAGAAACAAGGAAAACGCAGCAGCCGCTATCACAAACAGTTAAAAGACAATGAATGGCAAAAAGCGGGAACCACCTGTTAAAATGACAACTAAACAAGAGCAGGTCAAGAAGCAAATTCTTGGACGTTCTTACGTACAACTCACAGTTGTGGCGACTTGAGGTCCATGAATTTAGGATAAACTTCTCAGTTCCCATTGAATGGCAGCCAACCAGAGCCGGTCTAGTGTTGTTGAAAAACGGCTGTCATGAGCACAACGCGGATCCAAACCCAAAACCCGAGGTTCTTATGAAGCTGCCAACTTCCACAGCTTTTAGAACCTAGTGTTTCGTCTGAAAAACGAAACATCGCTTGTGATTCTGTGATGTTAAAGATACTTTCCGGACGTAAAGTGCAAGACAAGGGACCGGTTAAGTAAAACTGCAATGGATAACAAGCACTGACCAAATGTTCCAAGTGCCCAGTATAAACAAACTGAAAGCACCATAGTCCTAATCCATGCGGCCTTTGAGTGTTCTTACGATTACCTGGTCGGGGGTCCTACACAAGAAAAATAAGCATAAGATCAGTATGCTTGAAGGTGAGGAGAAAGAATCAGCGCTATTACACAACGTAGACGATTCCTCCCCAGCCGCTCAGACAGTCACGATCAACCGAGGAGATCAGCGCTTGTGAGATCGTTTCAAAAAGGTCTTCAGGCTCCTGAGAGAGAAAAAAAACAGGACTCGTAACATGAACTAGAATAATGGTTACCATGTCGGGCTTGTACATAGACTCGCAAGCACCATACAAGGATTCAGACGCAGTGCCCCCGACTACGAAGTCCTTGGAATGCTCGCTGCGTAAAACAAGTAAGTCACTTATGAGCTTACGAAAGTCGGACACTCACATTGCTCCGATAGAGTCCATCGTGCAGATGTAAGGCTTGTTGTCTGCTCCGAGCCCAGCAATGAGAGGCTGAACGAAGTAGGGACCAAATCTGACAAAAGAGATGAAGAAAAGGCTTCGAAAGAGAGAAGGAGAGAATTTTCACCTCTTCTCGTAGAGTGTTGCAGAGACAAAATTCGAGAAGGTTTCTGGTCGCATATCTCGTTCCTCCTGCAACTGGAAGAGGTTGTGTCGATACTTCAATCGTTGGTAGCTACAAAGGCAGCGAGCGAATCAGAAAGAACGCACAAAAAAATTCAAAGTAAGAAACTTACAGAGTCTGGACGTCGGAAGCAAGCCCTGCTAATCCGACATAGAGCTTGTCATGGATCTTGAAAATGCGCTGAAAATCCGTAGCTATCGTCTGGAAATTCACACCAAGCCGGCGATCACTGGCTATGGCAAAGCAATCCTTTCCGACCATCGCAACCAAGGCGCTGCCATTGTAGGTGAAAATCTGCCAAGGCGGAAGCTCTCAGCTCCAGGAATCGATCGGCGCTAGCAAAAACCTTACCGACATCGCTTCCACCAGATCACCGCGATCAGAAAACCCTAGCTCTCGATCATAAAAAATGTGGTTCTAGGTCAATTTCTAGGGTTCTTGCGTTGTGTGGCGGCAGCGCCCCGTTTGGGCGCTGCTGCGATCTCGCCCTGGCGGCGGCAAGACATAGTGTCTCTCCAGTCGCTCTTCCATCCGCTTGCGATCTCCGGGTGATCCAAGCGGCCACTTGGACTGGAAAATCTCTGGCTCCTGTGATTTCTCGCGAATCGTCGTTTCAATTGCTGATCTAGTGCTGAGATCTGTCTGCTATGAGGAGTGTTTTCTAGGCGTTGTGTGCGTGGGATTATCGGGGTTTTTCACCGTGATGAAGCTCATATTTCCACCCTAGAGGCCATTCTTTGTGCCTGATGTGGGGAAATACCCTCTAAGAAGCGCTGAGTGATTTGGGGCTCGCAGTGATGAACTCGAACAAGAAGATCTTTTGATAGGATTGGGACTTTGTTCCAGCAGGTTCTGAGCGATCGATCATTTTTATTTGAGTCACAGGGATGAGAAATTCTGTGAAAATCTGTCAATCCTCCGAGAAGCTCCCGATCGAGCTCTAGTGACGACAGTACAGGCCTGAGTGACGAACACAAGAAGACGCAAATCAACGGTGTTGAGCGGCAACACGTGTCGAGATCGCGAACCCGACTCTAGATACTTATAAAGTGCCAGCGAGAGAGAGAAAAAAAATATCGCCACGGTATCAGTGAAGATTCCCCCGCGTCTGGGGAAACCGTGTGAAAAAACTTTCTTTTCCATTTTACGGATAGGGCGCCTGCGGTTGCAGTCCCGCCACGTGTACCACGGGCAGCCCCATCGAAACCGTTTACACGCATCCGACGGCGGACCGGCTGCCCGGGGCGCCAGCCGTGCGATGCACATCCGACGGCTAGAGATCAAAATCGACGTCCGATCCGGGATCCAACGGCCGGGGGCCCCGAGGAATGTGGACCGCCCGATGGGGATCTAACGGCCAGGACAGCGTGGACACCGCTTTTAAAGGAGCCCTCGGTTCCTCTCTTCCGTCATGTGTTCTAGGGTTTCGGTAGGGATCTGCCGCCGAGCCCTGGCCTAGTGATTAGGGTGTGGGGATCGGCCTCCAGGTGCGTGTGATCGATGGAATCTGTGTCGGCAATGCCGAAAGAATCCAAGCGCGAGGTCCGCAAGCGCTTGAAGCTCGACCTGGAACAGGTTATCGGGATTAGCACCAAGATTGAGGCGCTAGAGCAGCAGTCCAGATCGTCGGGCACTCTCGGCACGCCGGGCACGGGCGGCAGCAGCAAGGAGAAGCGGACGCCCAAGGCGAATCAGATGTACAGCACCTCGGAGTATTTCTCGGCCAAGGACAAGATGCCGCCGCCGGAGAAGGTCAAGCCCAAGGCGCTCGTCCCGCCCAAGAAAGGGACTAAGGGCGACATTGACAACAAGCGGCAAAGGGTGGAGCTAGCGCGGATGAAGAGGATGGGCGACATAATGAAACAGTGTGGGACGCTGCTCAAGAAGCTCATCACCCACAAGCACGCTTGGGTTTTCAACGAGCCCGTGGACGCTGTCAAACTCGGGCTCCACGACTACCACAAGGTGATCCGGCGGCCCATGGACCTGGGCACCATCAAGAAGAAGCTCGAGGGCGGCCACTACCGCACGCCAGTCGAGTTTGCGGACGATGTCAAGCTCACCTTTTCGAATGCCATGACTTACAACCCGCCCGGGCACGACGTGTTCATCATGGCGGACATACTTCGCCAGATTTTCGATGAGAGGTGGAGGTGCATCAAGGAGAAGCTGGAGGAGGAGCAGACCAAGTGCCGGGTGGAGGACGAGGTGTTTGCGGAGATTGCTCAGGGGAACCCAAACCCGGCCTTGCAGAACCTCAAGCAGAGCCTCCTCAGCATCGAGGATCAATTGTCGTCGCTCAAGAAACCCGCCGGGGCTCCCAGGGGAAGCAAGAAGTCGGGCAAGAGACAGATGACTTACGAGGAGAAGACGGAGCTGGGTAAGAATCTGGAGAAGGTGTTGGAGCAGAACCCAGGTGACAAAGCCGACGAGATCGTTTTGCTACTCAAGAAGCACAACCCAAACCTTAGCCAGAGCGAAGATACGATCGAAGTCGACATTGATGGGATCGACAACGACACACTATGGGAGCTTCACAAGATGGTTGCGAGCTGTATGAAGCCGAAAAACAAGAAGAGGCCCCGGCCGCAGCCAGCAGAAGGCATCAAGGTATTTCTTGTCGTTGGTAGTTCTTACTTTGACCTGTGTTCTTTGTCTTTGTCTTTCCCAGCAGACTGGGGGAACGGCTCCGGGAGATTCACCGAAGAAGAGTCGAAAGAGTATGTTCTTGAGTTCTCGTCGTCGTAAGTGTCTGATATATGTTAATGATCGTCTAGGTGGTGAAGGGCTAGATGAGGACGTTGATATCGATGGAGAGGACGACATGCCTACAGCCAATTATTCACCTGTTGTAGTTGACAAAGATACACCTAATGATGGAAGAGAGTCGTCTGGAGGAAGTTCTTCCAGCAGCTCTGGTTCAGATTCCAGTGGTATGTTTTTTGTGTGCCCAGGCATGCTTGACAACCGGTTTTTTTTTTCAGAATCGGATTCCGGGAGCTCTTCTCACAGCGATTCCGACGCCGAAGGTCCTCGAACTGCTGGTATAGAGAAGCCTACCTCTCAGAAGGTATTTGCTTGGGGAACGGGAACGGTGACTAGTTAGGCAGAAAAAAAGAGAGGAGTGAGTGAGAGCGATTCTTTTCTTTTCTCGTGGAAGTGGGGGGGATTTTTTTTTGGAGGTGGCTGAACTGCCCTTCCGTGCGGTATTCTTGCCAGGAGCCTATGGGTTTTGGTGCTGTTCGCGAGCAATTATCCAGCCCGTCTGACAAGATTGACGGTGCAAAACGTGGGTGCCGTCTTGTGCACACTTTGCATTCTTTTCATTTGTGGGTCTCCGTTCATGCACTGCCTGCTGCTGCTTGTCCATGGAGGATTCATTTTTCTCAGCGGGATACTAATCTTTTTTGTGTGATATGTTCCAGAGCCCGTAACAGTCAGACCTGGGGAGGCTGGGGACTTACCTGAATCTCAAGCCGAAAAATGTAAGCGTGAAGCGTGACGATTTTCTGGCTTCTCATGAGCTTTGCAGCAGCAGAGAACTCCAATCTGAGAGGCCAGTCTCTCCCGAAAAGAGCGTTCGTGCAGCTCTGCTGAAAGGTCGCTTTGCCGATACCATTTTGAAAGCTCGGGAGAAGACTTTCCCGCTCAAGGTACACTAGCGTAGCAGCCTTGTCACAGAGCTGATAGTCTTCTTTCTTGTGTGTGTGTGTGTGTGTGTGTGTGTGTAGAGCGGGGACAACGTCGATCCGGAAAAGCTTCGCAAGGAGCGGGAGGAACTCGAAAGGAAGTTAAGAGAAGGTAAGCTTTTATTCTTGTCTTTCCTATATTGTTTTTGTAAGCAACGTTCTTTGTGTACAGATAAAGCACGGTTACAGGCAGATGCCAAGGCTGCAGAGGTCGCTCGCAAAAAAGCCGAAGCGGAAGCTGCGACGGAGGCCAGGAAGAAACGAGAAGTGGAACGAGAGGCCGCTCGGAAGGCTCTGCAACAGGTAAGCAAGCTCTTTTCTCGCGTTAAAAGCCTCTTTTTACTCGCGTTATTCGTGATGTAGATGGAAAGAACAGTGGATCTCGACGCGCACTGTGAGATCCTCAAGGATTTCGACCTGATGAGGACGAGCTCCAAGGAGCACTTCCAGAGCTCGGCGGGGGAAGTGAGCCCCCCGAATTCTCCGGATGGATTGCCGGGCTTCACTCTTCCACAAGGCGCCGGGAACGCGCTGGAGCAACTGGGCCTGTTCATGAAGCTGGACGAGGAGGAGGATGACAAGCAGGGGGATGGCGAGGTCGCGTACGCGGACGAAAACGGCGAGGTGGAAGAAGGCGAGATTGATTGAATTTGATTGATTCCATTATACAAGTCGTGGGGGGAGACAGGTTAGTCAAGAAATTTTGGTCACCTTGTAATTACTTACGCACTTTCACCGGGATGTAATTTGGAAAAGAGGGGAAAAATCAAACTAAAAAGCATTACAGATGAAAATTGTATTCATTTTGCTGGGTTTAATGGAGCTGCTACTTTTTCTTCAAACCTTGTAAAAGAACAGTTAGATTAATTTATATTTATAATTTATAAACTTTCTTAAACACAAACTTAGACAATATGGTTAATACAAGAAAAGTATTTAGATACATAATTATTCCAAGAGTTTATTACGAAGTAACGAGTCAAATGCAAACTTGGAACTTTCTACATCACTAAATTTCATTCACATATGATGGCTGAAGAAAAATGTGGCTTATCTTCATGCCCACAAAAACTCATTCAAACTTACTTTTGTTCTAGCTTGAATTACATGTTGATCAATTAGATAAATTATTAATATTATAAAAAACCAAACATTGCTATATGCAACGCATAACAAATTTTTGGAGTCACACCTGGAATAAACCCTCATCCCTGGCAATGCTGGCCAGAGATTTGCATATCAGCACTGCCGCAAGAGTTGGGAGACAATGCTTGGAATGCTGAATCTCTTCACTCTCTCACAGCAGCACACCCTAGCCACTGTTGCCAAAATCCAATCTCTTGAGCTTTTTATAAAGCTAAAATACCACTCCAAAATTCACTACAAAAGAGATGGCAGACCAACGATAATAAAATGGTACTTAATATTGTGAAGTGCAAAGCGATAAATGTTCTAGGCAACAATTGCTTGTGCTCTCTCATTGTTTCTTCTACTGGGATTCTTGCCAAAGAAACGATGAAGAGATACTTCGAGTTATGTAAAATTGAGCTTCCTAATGATTATCAATGTTTATCAAAGTCTCATATAAGAATATTCCTGCAGTTTTTCTTTCTTGAATTTCATTTTCATCCTTGTTTCTTTTATGATTATTATTGTTATAAATACTAACATCGCTAATTGAAATATAATAAAATCAAAAACAAGATTTTAGAGCCATCAATTTCTAAAGCATTACTATTTGAAAGCAGTGGGTTAATACTAGAACCTGGAAATTTTTGTAGTATCACAAGAAAAGGTCTCTCTTTCCAGTGATCATGGGCTTGCTCTTGAGAGTGAGATGAATTTCTTCAAGTCATGCAGCATGCTTTTGCTGCTTCTCCTGGTTTCTGCTGTCAGGTCTGATGGATTTCAGGAGGTTTTGGATCGAAATGCAGGGGGGATGCCAAGAACTTTGGCTTTGGAATTCCCAAGAGCACGATCGATTTCTTCTGTTGGAGGCCATGGCTGAGAAGGCCCTGGTGGTTTCCAAATCGTTTATGCCCTCCTAATGCACCTCCTTACTGCTACAAATCCCCACCACCACCACCACCACCACCAAAATGCGAGAAGTCTCCACCTCCATACGAGTACAAATCTCCACGACCACCACCAAAATTTGAGAAATCTCCACCACCACCACCTCCATACGAGTGCAAATCTCCACCACCACCACCAAAATGTGAGAAATCTCCACCACCGTACGAGTACAAATTTCCATCTCCGCCTCCGTTACCACCGTATAAATATGAGTCTCCGCCTCCGTTTCGGTATAAATACGAGTCTCCACCACCGCCACACAACTCCCCACCTCTGCCACCGCCACCAATCTACTGGTACCAATCTCCACCACCACTACGAGAATTAGTAACGTTTTGTCCCGGATTATAATTAAATAAAAAATTAATTATTTTAAAGAAGAACTTGTCTGAGTAGGTTGGCTTATCGAGGATCATTGAGCTTGTTGTCGTTCTTAGTATATCTGATCCTTGCGGAGGGGCCCCTGGCCTTTCAACTTCCGTGTGCTAACGAGCGAACAGGTGTACTATGTTGTGGCGAACAAACAACAAAGATTAGAGATGAAAAATCAGGTAGTGAATTGATCTTGTAAAGCATGCCACAATCTTGGAACTTGTAAAATCCAATTCTCACCCCCAAAAACTTTGTAAACTCATTCCAGGACCTTTCAGTGCCCAACAGTTATTCAAAACAGCCTGAAAAAATATAAGCTACAACAAAGTTTTTTTAGAGAGTCTCTTCCAAAAGGCGCAAAAAAATAAAAAAGGAGAAAAAGAACGGAATGAGCTTTCTTCATCGTCATCATCGGCGCGCTCTCCGCTCCTTTTCCTTCTTAGCCTCCACCCCCGGATCCGTAAGTCTTGCCAAAGAAGATGAGTTGCATCTGGTCGTAGCCCGACAACACTCCGGCACCCGCCACCGCTCGCAAGATGTTGGCCCCCGCGCCCTTGAACAGCGACTTGGTTCCCTCGTTCTTGATAATCTGCTTGAAGCAATCCATCGATCCGTTGTACTTCACTGCCTGGCCCGAAGTCATCATCATCCTACGCCGCACTGTGTCAATGGGGTATGAAGCCAGTCCAGCTCCAGTCGTGATCCCCCAACCTAGAAAAAAGCTCGCAAGGAAGTTGCCCTGGAACAGGAGATCACACACCAGTTAGCCTCGGTCAAAACCAAAGCGCCAAGAAGAGTTTACCTCCAGAGATCCAGTGAGAAGCACCGGCTTGAGCGAGTCGTACATTCCAAAGTAGAGGCCCCTGTAGACAATGATACCCACGCACGAGATGGTGAAACCACGGTAGAGTCCGCCGATGCCGTCCGTGGCCATGGTCTTCTTGTAGACATCGAGCAGGCCATTGAACTGGCGCTCTCCAGCCACGCCGGCCTTCTTTGCGGCCTTGGCGTCGTTGGCCAGCCGAGTTCGCGCGTAGTCCAGCGAGTAGACGAACAGCAGCGAGGTTGCACCGGCGGCACCCCCGGACGCCAGGTTCCCGGCGAACCACACCCAGTAGCCATCCTTGTCCTTCTTGAAGTTGAACACTCTCTTGAAGTAGTCCTTGAAGGCGAAGTTCAAGGCCTGCGAAAAAAGAACACGTTTTAGAACACAAATCCATCCAGAACACCGCGATGATTTGAAAACCAAAACTCACACTTCTGTCAGCAATAAAAACAAGTAAACACAAGTAAAGAAATCATCCAATGCCAGAAAAGCTCCAGGAAAAACATAACTTTGACAGCAGGCCTTGATTAGCTACAGAACAAACGACGTAGAGACATGGAAAACCCAATCACAACACAAAGGCAAGCCACAAAGGAAAGAAGAGACTAACCTGGGTCGGGAAATATCGGATCACGTTTGCCATGTTTCCTCTCCACAGAGACCCAAACCCTTCTTGGCTAATCGTCCGCTTGAAACAGTCGCCAATACCCTTGTAAGGCTCCTGGAGACGTCCCTGCTTGAGCATCTCGTCCTGGTTCTGGATCAGAAGCTTCACGCGCTCGATTGGAGCGGCGGCGGTCTTGGACACCGCGGCTGACACTCCACCCATCATGAAATCTATCAGGAATGCGCTCTTCCCCCTCTCGGCAGGCGCTGGAACGAAAACCGGCGATGGAGCAGCGATGTTCGTCGCCGCCCCCGCCGCCGAGAATCCCCTCAGGCCCCCCGTGAGCTCCGAGACGTACCTCGACCTGGCGGCTCCCAGATACGAGGACGTGGCGTAAGATCCATAGATCCTATCGGCAGTCCTGCCATAGCCGAATGGCGAGGGGCCGCCAATCAGCTTTTGTGACACTGTCGGTAGAACTCGACGATCTTCCATCTGCAAGAGCGGGGATTGTGAGTCGATGCGATCCAGATCTAGTCGAAATATCATCTATCTCGGCGCCAATGAGCTTACCTCGCGCCGATTCGTGGCGCCTAGACGCCAATCCTAGGAAGAACAGCGGAGATCTGCAAAACCCTTGCCGAGCAAAGGGTTCACTCGGGCTAAATGGAAGTATGAAAGGAGGAAAAAAGGACCATCTTAACCCCGCGGTGGCGCAATCGTGACCGTCAGATGGCTTACCGGGCCGTCCCACCGTTGATAGGATAGCCACCTCTTTTAGCGGACTGGGATTGCATCCCGGCCGTCGGTCTTGACCATGGTGCGGTAGTTCCGGGTAAATTCGTTAGGCTTATGTCTTATAATAATCACCGATATAATCTAATCGCTTTCTAGAGCTTTGGATTATGTTGTTTCTCAGCTTCCATCTTTGCTTTTGCTTCTCGCGCGAGGAATTCTTCCTGCAAAAACAAAATGGAGGAATTGGATCGAAGATTTTTTATCGCTTCCGAGAGGAAATGAGACAATGGCTTACCGAGGGGTGAATCAAATTCTCCGCGGATCATCTTGGAGAACTCTCGGAACGAAACTTTGCCGTCTTTGTCTCTGTCCGCGAATTTGACCATCTTCTCCATGTCTTGTTTGTCAAGATTGGCTCCCCATTTTGATAGATATCTCGCAAGCTGTGCATAGAGAGCTCGATCGACTTTGCGAAACCAAAACACTTTGAAAACCAGACCTCCGATGGAGTGATATAGCCATCGTTATTGCTGTCGATCTGCGAGAAAGCTATTCTCATTGCGTTATCGTTCCCCCAGTTCTAGAGAAACTCGAAAAACTCTGAGAGAACGACCAAAAACTTGTTTCGCATACCACAGATCTCAGCGTCGAATCCGCGAGGCGGAACCGGTTCATCTCGAATCGCTGACACGCCCTCTCAAACATCTCCTCCCGGAATCTGCCTACGCAACAAACAAGCAGAGATAGAAATTTCGAAGATATTCGCAGCAAAATCACTCACATTTGCCGCTCCTGCCGCACAAATGCAAGGCTCCGCAGCTCGTACTCGTTCTTGTCGCGCTCCGGAAGATCATCGAACAGAAGCCTCCGTGAGAGAATCAAAGGGGGCGGCGGCCGCAGCGGCGCCACGCCACGAACAAGGCGTAGCATCGTGAACAACCCTAAATCTTCAAAAAAATGGTAGAGAACTAGCCCTATATTCGTAAGATATTCCTGTTTTAAAGGCTTACTTCTTTTTTTACATTTGCTCTGTTTTTAGGGTTCTTCAGTCGTAACGTAGGGAAGAAGGACCATACGTGGAGCTCCCGTTGCGCAAATGCTGGATCGTCCCCAGTGCCGCCACGGTGCTCCTCACAATCCTGCCGCTTTGGTCGTCTCCATCGTCCCCGTCGAATCCCTCCTCGTCGTGTCCATCAGCCGCCACGGATCGCAGCGATCTCTCCAGCGCGCGCAAGATCCGCTCGCACTCGGCGATGAGCACGAACAGCTGCTCCGTCTGGAAGAATGGCTGCCGCAATAGCCTCCGCACGAATGGGAGGCGGAGGAGCGCCACGCTGCTGCTCAGCTTGTCGTGCTTCTTCACGATCTTCACCAGCCCTGGCCAGGAATTCCGTCAAAATCATCCACTGCCAAGCGAAAGCTCATCCATACCCAGGCAATTGATGGAGCTGTAGTTCTCGAGCAAGATCATCTCGCCATGGAGGCACACGAGATCTCGCCAGATCCGGAGCAAGCCGCCGCGGCTAGCGTGATTCTCCACTGCCCTCTCTCGCAGATCCTGCGCAGCGAGAAAAGATTTCGATCTAAAGAAACCGCGCAAGACCTACTACCTGGAACCGGATCACGAATTCCTCCTCCTCCTCGCTGAAGAAGGCATTGAGCTTGGAGATTTCGCGATATAGGAGCGTGACGAAGCGCATCTCTTCCGCGGTCTCGGCGGGGGCGATGATCGATCTCGCCGGCATTTCTGCTGGATTGGGCATTTGCTGCCGGATTGCTGCGATGCGATTGAGCTGCTGCTTGAGATCCTTGTACGCAATGAAAAATTCCTGCCATGCCGGAAACGTCTGATCGATCACGCGCCGAAGGGCCTTTCCAAATTTCATGGTGGGTGGGCTCCTAATGTTCTTCCAGAGCCTATTAAGCTCTCTCTCACCGTCCGATTGCTTGCATCCAGCGGCCATGGCCTCGCCACGGCCGCGGGCGGTCTTTCCAATTACTTTCCCTCGCATCTCCGCTTTTGGAATATCCAACATTCGAAAATGCGAATGCACTTTGGGCGAATATCCACCTTTCCAAAACGCATCTTTACATTCTCGCAGTACAAAATTACATACAAAACTTTAATCTCTCTGTGCGGCGTGCTCCTAGAAAAGAATCAAGTAAAGCGATGGATTTCTCGATCCTCGGAGAAAGAAAGAAGTTTAAGAAGAACCTGCCAACGTCAGCGTTTTAGAGGGACCTGAAAAGCTTTCGAGAATAAACCTGTTGAAGAAGAAGTTTCAAGAAGAACCTGGTGAGCCCGGAAGGATTGGGACGAAGCCACGGCCTCCAAACATCGGACGCATGTAAGCATCGTCGAATGATCTCCACATGCGATGGATTGTCGAGGTTGGAGCCTCGAGCAGCATTCGCAAGCTGCTCCTCCGCGCAACTCCATTCCTTAGATTCTGGAGCCTCTCGGTCAGGAGGGGAAGCTCCAAGTTCGCATCCACAGTGTGATCGATGTTTGCTTCTTTCGGGGACGACGGCTCTGAATCCACTGCCGGACGTCTCATGTGTGGAGGCAGCAGCCACCCGATCAATGGCTTCGTTATCATTCCAAACACCTGGCAAGGTTCCACTCGCAAGCTCAGAGAAAGCATAAAAAAAGAAGAAAAATAAGTGTGTGCTTACCACTGTGCTGAAGAGGACAGCAATAATCGTGCTAGTGATAAGGGTGGCATTGTCGGGGAAAATAGTGCTTCCGGCTCTTGTAAACTGTGAGGAGGCACCACGATTAAACGAGAGATTTGTGAAACAATCGTGAGACTTGCCTCGTTGAAAGCCAATGCTATTGAGACCGCTCCCCGTATCAAACCCGCCCACCAAATGATCACCTACAAGACACAACGCATGAATTTGTCAAAACCGACCCAACGTGATACTACCTGCTGTCTGATTGTAATCTTCCCAGCCTCAGATCGGGTGAAAAAGTTGGCCACAGCAGACAAAGGAAACACAAATGCGGCTCGGCTAACCAAAACCAAGGCTATGACAACGCCGAATATCGAAAATGATTGTCTATTTGGTCAGCAGTAGTTTAGAAAAGACGAAAGAAAACAAAAAACCATTTTTTTCCCCCACCTCTTATCTGCCAGCCTCCATTTCTCCAGGTCCAGTGCGTCCATTCCAACGTATAAAAAGATAAATGTCTCAGCGATGAAGGACATAGTTGCAAAGGTGTGCCTGCAGGAATAAGTTAAAACATAAGATACAGATTTGTCACTGTACTTGGTTGTGATTCTTGAGCTCTCCGTGACGTTGTGCCATGTATAATGTGACATAACAATGCCACAAAAGAAGACTGTGAGGATCCCACTCAGGTAGAACAGCTGGAATGGCATACGCATGAGAACAAGAAGAAATGCTACCTCTCTATACAGAAAAAAACTATCACCTCGGCAATCATGTAGGAAAGATATGCCATCAAAGTCATGATTGCAATTTCTCTGTCGGTCGAGTGCCTGCGAAAGAGTTCATCACAAAGCTTAAAAAACTTGAACTGGAAAGCATACCTGCCGAAGTATAGCGTTTTGATAATATACGCGCTTAGCAGTCCTGCCTGGAAATAAGAAATGACTGTCAAAGTCACATAGTTACGGGGTCACAGTCACTTACAGCAACTCCCAGCACTGTGCTGCTCAAGAAAAGGTAGATAAAATCAGCAAACATCCCAAGCGCTGTGAGCCCGTTGATGCTTGCCGTGCCAAGCTTTTGAATCGTTCTAAAGAGAACAACTGAGGTAGCGTCATTCACAACTCCTTCCCCGAAGACCAGACTATACAACAAAGGAGTTTCATCTTGACTCAAAACCTGCAGTGTACAGACGGTATCTGTGGCGGAAAAGATTGTTCCAAGTGCTAAACCCAAAAGCAAAGTTAAGCCAGGCTGAAGGTCCGAATCAAAGACTTTACCAAGATAGCTCCTTGGAGCTAAATGAAGTCCCAAATGTGGAAAGATATATCTACAACCTGGAAAACAAAATATCAACAGGGCAATTCGTTTTGGACATTAGACGACTCACCAAACGAGATTATGACAAAAGAGATGAACACTCCGGCGGCACCGTACAACATGATCGAAGCAAAGTTACGGAAAAAGTGTTTCTTCTTGACTTGGAATCTAGAATTCACAACGAACAAGCTGTAAGAATGGAAAAAAAGTTACCGAGTAGTTACCCTGCATTGAAGATGATTGGTGGCAGCAAGTAAATAAAAAAGAGCTCTTCGTTGAACTGGAGTATGTGAGAATTTTTCCCACCACTGATAATGAGGACGATAAATCCAGTCCCCACACCCTGGAAAGAACAAAGTTAGAGCAATTCGGTAGCTAAAAGCAATCGTTTCGTGTACCAGGATAAGGGAAACGATAGACTCGCTCGCCCATTTCACCTCCTCCAACAGATGCCCAAGGACAATACACGCGCAGATCAGCGTCACGAAGAGCGAGATGGACACCACCAAGGTGTGGTTCACCGACTCCCCGAGCCCATTCTTAATCAGCCACGAGTGCAAAGGGCCGACGTAATCCGCCATGGGAATTGCCACAATTCTATGGATCCAGCGCCTGGATTGCGATGCGCCTGCGCGATTCTTCAAGCCCTAGCATAAACCTCCGCATCCGGATCGCGATCGCGATCGCGAATCCCCGAGCCCCAGCGCCTCCGGGAACCTGAGAGCGCGATCGAATCGATCCAAACCTAGCGTGCTCGGCTACGTCGTCTCCCACCTCCAGCTGCGCCAAAACGCAAGCGCTTCACGGGCTAGAATAAGAGCAAACCCAGACCGTCCATTCCGACGGCCCGGATCGTGCCACTTAAGAGATCTCAGAAATTTGAATAGACGGCCAGATAGACGTGATCGCAGCGCGCCAGGACAAAACGACTGGCTGATATTTTATATATGTTAGAAATCATCGGAAAGGATTCTATTCACAAAAGCAACCCATGTACGGTAGCAACGCTAAAGTAAGAACATCCTCGTACGGTAGCGAGAAATTTACAGCTTCGTCCACTAGAGCCAGTTTGCATTTGAATGTGTTGATCATGATCCATTCGGAATCGAAGATCCAACGATGTTGTGATCCTGGGCTTTGAAAACTGAGGATCCACAGCCACCACCGCAGCCGGATCCACAAGCTCCTCCTTTGGAGTCATGAGCTCCGGCGTTTGAAAGTGATGATCCACAGCCACCACCGCAGCCACCGCCACCTCCACATCCGGATCCACAAGCTCCTCCCTTGGAGTCATCCTTTGGAAGTGATGATCCACAGCCACCACCGCAGCCACCGCCGCCTCCACACCCGGATCCACAAGCTCCTCCCTTGGAGTCATCCTTTGGAAGTGATGATCCACAGCCACCACCGCAGCCACCGCCACCTCCACAGCCAGATCCACAAGCTCCTCCTTTGGAGTCATGAGCACCGGCTTTTGGAAGCGATGATCCACAGCCACCGGCACCTCCACACCCGGATCCACAAGCTCCTCCTTTAGGATGGTGTGGTGATCCTGATCCTGTTTTACCTCCGCAGTTCCCATTGCAGCCACCCCCACATCCGGCACTGGCTAAGATGACGGCCTCGGGAAGAAAGATGTCACAGGCGGATAGTTTGGAACGCTGGTGCCGGCCGAAAAGGCCAAACCCGCGGGACTCTGATGAAAACAATGTGAAACTGGGAAGCTAGACAACTTTCGCGTTTTACCTCGATAGCTTCTGCTAGTTAGAGATTTCGTTACTGGCTTCTGATTGCCTAGGGACAAACAAGCCATTGAAGTGGCTGTGGCACACAGCAATGCCGCTACCAACATCGTGTTTTCTTCGACCGTGACCTGCATGAGGTTTCTGAATGTGAGCAAGGAATGAATTATCAATTACCTCCATGTAGCCAGTCTTCCAGTTGAAGAGCGCAGTCGCCTTTCCATTTGGAGCTTCGGGAAGATAGCGAGTTAATGTCACAAAGCCTTCGTTGACGTCTTTAGTTCCTGCCAATGCGAACTGAAGTTTTCTTCCAGCTAAAAGCGTCACCTGGATCAATCCAAAGATTAGTTTATGGAAAAGAGATAAAGATGTCGATATAAAGTACCGGACAGCCGTCACCACAAGCTCCAAAATGTACTTCATATTCCGCATTCCTTCCTATGACAATGGTGCAATCACCGTCCAAAGACCATTGCCACAAGTTTGGAGTTTCAGCGACCGCCAACAACACTGTCCAAAAGTATTAGCACTGTTTGAAGCCTCGTCACTTAAGAATCTACCTAGTTTATGGCCTGCATTGTGTGTGGCAGCCACCGTAATTGATCTCACACCGGAAGAGAAACTGTAACATAAGATACTTAGCACACGTTCAAGTTTTAATATCAAACGCGTACCTTGTGTGCGCATGGAAGACATCCTTGTTTGTATGGTCGAGGACTTTAGCCAGGTGTTTTTCGCCACGCAGTTCAGGCTTGGTAACTTTCATGACATACGGAGCGCGAACAGGAGGCGTCACTGATACTTCCACGCGAAGAGACGGCACCTTATCCGTAGTCACGCCATCGGGAGTAAACAGCGGGAACCAGCCGTGGAGCGAGAGAGTTGACGTCTCGAGGATCATCTTCCAAGTGATTGTCAGCGCGCCAAGAAGCTTTGATCCCTTGGACAACCCCAGGAAACCCTTCCTGCGTTGCCGGAGCTCCAGAACAAGACCACCAGCGGCAGCATCGCACTCGAGCTGCCAGAGCTTATCCCATTGAGGATTTGGAGATGCTGTTGCTACTTCCGGTGTCTGAGTTAAGAAGTTCGCGAAGGTTGACAAGCTCACAAACGTCGATGAAGACTTCTCCGCAGGAACGTTCCGAGCAGAAAGAACAGCCAGACGAACCTGCTTATTTCTTGCTGTTAATACCAAAATTGCTCACGAAAAAGAGGCTACTACTGACCTGCAAAGTTTTTCTTGCCGTCAGGAACGCTTGATCGAGTGATGGTAAAGGCCTGTTCACTGATCCAGTCGGTTTCGGCAGCACGGATGGTTGATCCCCTCGGTACATGCAACCGGCTTTTTCGTAAGGAAAGCCGTAAGTCTTCTCCCAGATATCTCGAGTCTTTGTAAACCCGTTGTCTAGCTTCCTCCCTTTTGTTCTGTCACTGTCGGTATCATCGTGATCCAGCACTGTACCCAAAATCCTGATCAAGTCCTGATGATAAGCAGCCGGGCTTCGCTGGTGAGCGTGCCACATTACGTCGACGTCGTAAGTGGGGACGAAGAAGGTCGAACCCAGCGTCATCAGATACAAAAACCCTTTGTATCTTTGTTCTGCCGCTTTCAGGAAGCTCTCTTCCAAATAGTGGGCCTGAGAGACCTGCGTCCAAAAAAATAAAATAAATATGTAAGCACCGAAAGTGGAGAAAACTTATAACTCTCACCTGATAATAGAAAGATTTTTGCCTAGAGACAGCGCCTTCGAGGTACTGAGCAAGCTTTTTGCGGCCTTCTTCCTCCGGAATTGATGAAGAATGACTACTCTTATAGTTCACGTCCAAGTTGAAAGGCTCGTCCGGAAATCTGGCACTCCAGAGTTTCTGTGTCTCAATGGTTGCCGCATCCTTGCTCTGCGGTGAAGCCAAAGGAGCATCCACGATCTTCCCAAACAAAGCCTTGCAATCTTGCGCATATCGCACCTAGAAAGGCTCGTCGCATTGACGAAAATTGGAAAGAGACTAAGAAACGGGAAACAAAGTAAACATCTTACCGGGCTGAGCCTGTGGCAATGCCAAACCCATGCACAATCCAAGGGCGGCACCAGCGGAAGCTTTGCGCCATCGTTCTGATCATAGGCGGCAGCAAAGGGAAGCCAAAAGCTCGTGTACCTGGCCAGCGATCGTCGATACCTACCGCAATCATCGAAGAGATTTTACCTGTGGATCGCTTGGTTCAGGGCTTCTCCCTCGTAGAGCCGCGGGATCCGATCGACGAGCGCCAGGAACTCCAGCTCCTCCTTGGCAGCGTCGACGAGATCCACGCTGATTTTCAAGCGCTGAGCGCTCTCCCATGCCGACCGCTGGGCCTCGCTCTCCGCCATCATAACAAATCCCTAGAAGAGAAGGGGAATATATGCTCACACCTTGTACTACTCCTTGATCGTACTTCCATAGTACGTACGATATAGTGATGTATAGTGAAGTGATATAAAAGCTGCGGATTGTTCTTTTCCTTCTCATGTTCATGACTTGTTCAAGCAATTTGAGGCTATCCATCATCTAAGTTAGTCAAGTAAAGGTATTGGATATGGCATATGAGATTATGGACAAAAAATGTAACAAGTTTTAATTGCAATGGATATTGTTTGAAGATTATAAAATATCTCCTTTCTTGATACCATTTACAAAGTCATCATTTATCAATTTTGTTGACAATGAAAAAAAACTATTTAAGAGTGTTAGTTTTCTTTTTCTGTCATCATTTCTTAAAAACCTATCATTAATTTTAAACATTATTTTTTAAATTTAAATTTCTTTGTTTATTATATATTTTTCAAATATTCATGATTAATTTAAAAATTTGTATTATAAATTGGCATATGCATAAACATTATAGCTAAGCCTGGGGACATTTTCAACAGCTCACCTTACTTCTTCGTTTAGCATGTGTGATCTTGTACTCTTCTCAAATAATAAATTCATTATTAAAATATAAAAGTGTTTTTTATTTTTTATTTATTCTCTCCTTATAAAGTCATTTCATTATTTTACATGAAGATCATCAACTAATTCTAGTTATTCTATTAACTTTATAATCTCGATCTTAAATATTTAAATAAATGGTTTCATAAATAATTATAAATAAATGATATGAGAATTGGAAAAATATAAATATAAAAGGCATTTTAAAGTCCAAGAAATAAAGGATTGTTTTCATTTTAATAATTTTAACTATTATTTTTTAATAATAAGAATAATTTTGCCCAAATAATAAAAACTTTAATTGTATTAGTCACACATATTAACTCATTTTATTTCTATACTTAGTGGTTAAAATATTTCATTTTATACTGTAAAATCATATTTTACAAATAAATTTTAAAATATCACTTTGCTATTAAATGGATATAGTAACTATGTGATTATTTGTTATGTGACTATGTAATTATGTGTAATTATGTGACTATGTAACTATGTGCTAAAATATTTTAGCAACTTAAGATAATTCTCTATATACAAATAAAAGATATAAAAAAAATCTAAAATATTTTGACATAAAAGTCTAACATTTAGAAAATTTTTGTGTTTATTAAATTAGGGTTTACTTATGTTGTTTGAGGTTCAATTATTGCCCAATTAAGCATTATCATATTAACTAATTGTTATAGCTTTTGGTTGTGGTCTTGTCATGTGACTATTACTTTTAAAATATTACTTATTTATTTATAGTTAATATTTGTGACACTTTAAATTTTAAAAATAAAAATAAAAAGTCTTTAATAATAAATAAATTTATTTTGAAAATATAAACTTCATAGAAGGTTTTAATAAATAGTTAAAAAATAATTATTTACAAATTTAGAGTTTTAAAAAGAATTATTTAAATATTCTAAATAAATTTTATAAATTAATTCTATATATAGTAATTAAAACTAAAGTAAATTATTTTGAATTTAGCATTGTAAAATTTTTCCTTAAGTAAGTATGAAAATGTTACACTCCACTTTATATAGCATTAATTATAAAATTTCGTCATAGATTTTGTATATGAATTATGATTGTTATAAATAAAAGCCTAAACTTAATTGGAATAAATGTCTTACATATATGCTTAACAGGATGAGGAAGAATTTTCAATTTTTCTTAAACTCAATGAATACTTAATCACTCTTTATTAGGCATCTTTAGTGGTGGGACAACCTAAAGTTTAGATAATGGCCAGTTCTCTGACTTGGATAATAATAATAATGGCCATAACATAATCTTCCTATAGTCCATACCTTTCATACATTCATGTTTTTTGGAGTGCCTATTATATATTGCATTGGCTTGGATTGTGATATTTCATACGTACATACATGTTTTTTAGGGTTTAGCTGTGCTTATTATCTATTAATGTCACTGCCATGCTCGTCCGCTAAACTTTTAATATCAAGAGTAATTAAGATTTTTATGTATGTATGAATATGTATTTACAGTGTTCACAACAAAACTTGTGCTAGAGGTTTTAGCTGAATCTTGATTGTCTCAGCCACTTTGTGGCGGACCATTTCTCTCCTCGCAAAACACTACAGCCTCCATGGAGACTGTTGCTATCGACATTTCCATCAAGAGCCTGGAAAAACCAATCAAAAGCCTTTCAAGAAAATCCTTTGACAAGCAACACTACTTACAGCGCTCCAGAATAGGATGGCATCGCCTTTCCTTGGCTTCACGCACAATCCTTTTCTAAGCTCGCCGCCGCATTCGCACTCGCCATCCCCAACCTTTGGAAACAAAAAGATTGATAGGAATGAATACATGTAGAGCATTTTGAGAAGTAGACACTGTACCGATGGAAATATGGTCTCTCCTCCCTCCTCGACGTCGCTGAGATACATGAGAACCGTTGCCACGCGCTGGCCTCCTCGTTTTAGATTAAACTGGCACGAAGAAGTATGAGAAATAAAATAAAATAAAATAAAATAAAATCTAAGCTAAAAGCAACCTGATCTGAGAAATAGTCGTGATGAGGCTTGTAGTATTGATTCGGCTCATACCTGCGAGGACAAAAATCGACTCAGAAAGAAAAATGACTTTCAAACACTCGAAAGATTGAAATTACCGCAAAACTTGGAGGAGTTCACCATTCTCCACAGGGATCATGGAGTAAACAGCAATACGACGCTCTATTGCCTGGAAACACAAAGAACCAGAACGAGAAGACCATGACAGCGTCTTTGTGATCTCAAAGAGCAGACCTGAATCATGGGATAACGTCTGTCATAGTTGCTTAGAAACATTCCTGTACTCGTCCGGACCTTGCTCTCGATTCCCTGCTCCATAAAACTAGTATAAGCTTTCATGCAAAAGGGAGTGTTTTACTTTTCGAGTTTAGACATGCCTTGCCTTGCCTGTGCTTGTGTCTACGACTGTGGACTTCGCCAACCTCGGCCCGGCAATGGCTATCAAGTAATCGCATTCCTCTGCGCTCAAAAACTTGTGTAGCAAAATGATTCTGGGAGACCAGTTTAGGACTTCGGGTTTCACCTATGGAGGAAACAAAGTTAGAAACCATAGAACTCTGATCTTGGATAAAGAAACTCACGAGACCTATGCGAAGCAATCTAGCTTCTTTGTCATCCTTCCAGCGCGAATCACCTAAGCACAAGTAGAGAAAACTGATCACACGGAGAGAACCACGGATGAGAGTACGTACTGCCAGGATCATCAATTCTCCCGAGAAAGAGGAGCTGGGAAAACGCGGCTGCAACAGCAAAAGGTTTTGTTTTTGCAGAGAGAAAGCCTGTATGATTCTTACCAAGCCCCATCGCCACAAACAAGATGCCCAGCAAAACCGAGAAAAACTTCGTCCTTCCCTTGGGCTTCATCGCATTGCCCTTAAGCGACTGCATTTCGACCATTTAATCGCGGCCTCTTTCTACACGGAGAAAGATTCCGTGATCAAACGATGAAAAGATTGATGAACTTACAGATCGAGCGATCCCAGCGCCTGTTTCTTCGATTCCACAAATCAAACCAAAATCGGCTGTAGCATCGAGCTGCTACTCCACGGACGGACAAATTGATTAAACCCTGCGGCCATTGCTCGTTTAACTCGCTCGCCATTCTACCACGGGAATCCCAAGACATCTCCAACGCACAAGATAGTGCCACGTGGAGGACTGGCCGCCAACTTCCCAGCCGCCAAATTCCGTCAATCGCCACTGTTGATGCTAGAAGAGCCGAGGAATGTGGTCCATGCGATGGAGTCGGGCTCGTAGGGCATCCCTTCCAACACGTCTCGGGCAAACTCCATCTTCCCCGACCGGCAGAGCAGATCTAGCAGGCTCACGTAGTGATCAAACTCTCGATCGATCGCCAGGTCCATCTCCATCGATCGCCACAGCTCCAGCCCTCGATCCAGCGCCCCGCCGTGGCTGCAAGCGAACAGAATGCTGATGATGGTCGATCGGCAGGGCGACGCAGCGCTCTCGATTTGCATCGATTGGAGGAGATCGAGGCATTGATCGGCGTGGCCGCCCCGCGCATAGCCCGAGATCATACAGTTCCACGAGATCAAGCTCCTGACGGGAAGCGAATCGAAGAGATCCCTCGCGTACTCCAGATGCCCACACTGGGCATACATCCCCACTAGCGACGTCCCCAGCACCACGTCAAGTGGGATGCCCCGGTTGAGGATTTCACCATGGACGATTCTACCCGGGGTAAATGCCGGGACCAACGAACAAGCATCTAGCACAGTGATGAATGTTACCCGGTTGGGCGCCACGCCCTCCAGGTCCATCGTACGGAAGAGCCGCAGTGCGTCGAGGCCATGGCCGTTTTGCGAGTAGCCGGCCATCATGGCGGTCCATGGCACCACGCTCCTCTCGTACGGCATGCCGTCGAAGAGATACCGCGCGGCATCCACGTCACCGGCGGCGGCGTGTGCCGCCAGCATGGCCGTCCACAAGATGGGGCTCTTGTACGGAGCCGCGTCAAACACCGCTGTGGCACGGTCCGCGCGGCGGCATTTGCCGTACATGTCCACCGCCGCGGTACACACGCTGACCGCCAATGCGAAGCCCGCCTCCACGGCGTTGGCGTGGATGCTCTCGCCGCAGAGGATATTCCCCGCTCTCCCGCACGCGTCCAGCGCGCCAATGAAGCTCACGCGGTCCGGGCGGCACGCCCCGTCGAGCAGCATGGTCAAGTAGACCTCGACAGCGCCGCGCGGCTCGCCGGCGTCGCGGTAGCCCGAGGCCAGCGCATTCCACGTCACCACGTCGTGCCGCGGCATGGCACGGAAGATACCGCGCGCCGCGGACAGATGCCCCGCCTGGGCATATGCCGCGAGCATAGAGTTCCACGACACGATGCTCCGCTCGGGCATTTGGTCGAAGATTTTCTTTGCGTGATGGATCTGGAGCTTGTCGGCGAAGGCGCCCAGCATGATGTTCCATGAGTAAACGTTCTTTGTTTTCAGATCGTTGAAGATGGTGAGAGTTTCTTCCAGTTCCCCGCACTGTCTATACATGATCATGACGTGGTTTGCGAGGCGCGTGAGGGCGAGCTTGCCGCTGCTGGCGATGTGGGAGTGGATCAATCTCCCTGCGCTGAGAGCCTTCGCGCTGCCACATTGTTGGAGGAGGTGAGTGTAGATGGCTGGATCCTTTCTACTTAGAAGTTCCTGGAGATCCTCACGCGAGAACTTGTCTTGTGGAGGAGGATCGCAATCGCGGTCACACAACGGATGGTGATCTTGGTCTAGTCTGGCGGAAGAAATCGAATGGGGAGAAGAAAGCGTCAGAAAGTGATTAATTTCGCTCATGAGAGAGCGATGACGAAAGTCCAACACAGTCTTTAAAGACTTTTATTGACTCTCATTTTGACACATTACATTGACACATTCCATTGACGGAGTTGACATGGATTGACTTTTTCAGCTCGAGAGCTCAAACGTGGTCAGGGCTCGGGAGTTTCAAATGCATACAAATGCCATTGGAGCTTTCGGATTGTATACATAGAATCAAGTCCTCCAAGACATTGCCAGATGCTCACAATGCTCACGCCCACATTGTCTCCCGTGCTTACCAGCGCAGGCTCTCCCCCAAGGAATGGCTCCTCGTCTCAAACATGCTCGTCCAGATGTTTGGAAGGCTCGGCTGCCTCGACAGCGCAAGTCACATCTTTAACACCATGCCCACCAAGGACAGCTTCTCCTGGAATCTCATGCTTGGAGCGTATGCCCAACGCGGGCATATCACACAGGCCAGGCGAATCTTCGACCAGATGCCGACTAAAGACTACGTCTCATGGAACGCAATGCTCTCGGCATATTCCAGAGACGGCTTGGCCCAAGAAGCAAAGGTCTTATTTGACAAAATGCCGCAACGGGATATCATCTCGTGGACAGCCTTATTCACGGCATATGCCCAATCTGGGGATATTCACACAACAAAGCTTGTGTTTGATCAAATGCCCCAAAAGGATCTCGTGTCATGGAATGCCCTGTTAGCTGCGTATGCGCAAAACGGACATCTTGAAAAAGCTAGAGATTTGTTCCATTCGATGCCCTACTGGAGCCTCGTATCATGGAACTCGATGCTAACAGCATATGCCCAGAGGGGGCACGTACACGAGGCGACCGTCCTCTTCGACAAGATCCCCGACAAAGATCTTGTCACCTGCAACACAATGCTGTCGGTGTACGGCCGGCACGGCGATGCTGCCAAAGCAAAGACCCTGTACGACACGATGTCGTACGTGGACCTTCTCTCGTGGGACGGCATCCTCGCGGCGTACGGGAACTCTGGGAATCTAGACCAGGCAAGACTCGTGTTCGGGAATATGCCCGAATGGGACACGCTATCGTGGAACGCCATCCTTGCCGCGTGCACGGACAATGGGTTCGTGGAAGATGCCAAGAGGATCTTCGATGGGATTCCAAGGCGAGACCTTGTGTCCTGGAATACTCTGCTGTCGGCATATGCCAGGAATAACTACATCCACAAGGCGAGGAGCTTGTTTGATGCCATGGCGGAGAGAGACCTTGTTTCGTACAACACTCTCTTGTCGGCGCTCGCAAAGTCTGGGAATTTGGATCAAGCGGTGGGATTCTTCGAGCAAATGCCCGTGTTGGACATGGTTTCCTGGAATCTGATGCTCAACGGCTTGGCAAAGAGTGGCGATCCGGAAATGGCCGAGGCTTTCTTCAAGAAAATGCAGGATGTGAATCTCTTCTCGCTGAATTCTATGTTGGCTGTCTATTCTTCCACTGGAAGGAACCTCGACGAGGTTATGCATCTGTTCAGCTCAATGCCATCCAAAGACGTGGTATCTGGTACCGAAATGCTAACGGGATTTGCTATCGTCGGGGATCTCTTACGAGCTAAAGCTGTGTTTGATTCAATGCCAGAGCACGATCAAATCGCCTGGAACGTACTTTTGTACTCTTACGCCCAGATCTCTGATTTAGAAACTACAAACTTTGTGTTTCACCTTATGCCTAACCGAGACACAATCTCCTGGACAGTTTTGTTTGCAGCTTATGCCGCTAAAGGTCATTTTGAAATAGCAAGAAGTCTGTATCAGGACACCCCAAACAAAGACGAAATCGCAACGACAGCAATGCTAGGAGCTTATGCCCAATCTGGCCAGCTAGAGGAAGCATTGCAGTTGTTCTTGAGCATGCCAAGAGTTAACACATCGGCATGGAACGCCATGCTGGTGGCATATGCCCAATACGGGCATCCGCAGCTAGCCTGGAAAACGTTTCGTGAGATGCCACGCCGTGACGTGATTACGTGGAACACCATGCTGACAATGCAGGCACAGCGTGGAACGTCCTTGGACCTGTTCCAGGCAATGCAGCTCGAGGGAGTGAAGCCCGATGAGGTATCCTTCACTTGCCTGTTGCTAGGCCGGAGTCACGTTGGGAGCCTCCAGGAAGGATGCAAGTACTTCAACTTTTTGGAGATCGATCAAGGACGGAAGGCCTCCAAGCAGCAGTATAGTTGCTTGATTGATTTGCTTGGGCGTGCCGGGCATTTGGGGGATGCCCGTGATCTTATACAAAACATGCCATATGTTCCGGAGGCTCAAGACTGGACGTCGGTGTTGGGGCATTGCGATGCAAAGGGAGCAAACGATGCTGCCAAGCATGTGGTGAAACTGGAGCCCGAGACCTCTGCGCCATATGTGCTTCTCTCAAACAGCAAGAAACTCGCCTATAGTGTTATTAAGTAGTTCTTGACAAAATCTTGTGTGCTTCTCTCAATCCTCTTTCCCATGAGTTCTGGACATGAGGAATAAATTGTAATCCAAATATCATAAGGCCCAAATAGGAAACAAATCGATCATTGCCTAACTTCATAATGTCTAGAGAAAGTACGTTATCCCCTTCTCCTAGCAATGCAGTCAACGAGGAATAGGGCAGTTGCTTGATTGATTTGCTTGGGTGTGCTGGGTAGAAAACACACCAGAGGCTCAAAACTGGCCGTCAAATGAATCTGGTGTTGGGCATCAAAGCGAGCAAACTATGCCGCCAAGAATCCATAAACAGCAAGAAACTTGCCTATAGTTACTAGTAGTTCTTGACAAGAATGTTACTAAGTGAATTTAAATTCATAAACTTTTGATAATCTCCTTGGAAATCCGTGGTTTCATCTCAGGAGGACAACGGCAAGGATCAGCCAGGGAAACATTAAATCATACAACGCCGTAAAACCACTTTCGTTGGGTCCTGTGTCCGGCTGTCCTTCCAGAATCTCCATCTCGCATTCGTCCCTGCAAAGAGCGAGTTTCAAGCTACAGAAAGACAAAACCAAGACAAAGTTTTACCAGTTGAGCAAGTAGTATGCAGTGATCATGTTCCGAGTTGCCTTTTCTGTGCTTGGATGTCCAGCACCGCCTCTGCTCACTCAAATTGCTCGGAAGCAAGTTGGCAATCCCCATTGTGTTCAGCATGTCTCCGAGATTAGGATGATCCATGCCAAATTTATCTTCTATAAGTTGCACACCATACAAAAGATCTGATGCCAGATCTGCATCCACCATCCCATGAGGTATCACACCTCCTGATCCAATTTCTTCAGATGTTTTCTCTTGTACCCAATTTAGAGTGTTGCTGTTTTCTTCACATCGTTGAAGATACAC